AGTTCCGCGATGAGCGAGAAGAGCAAGGATCAACTGTGTAGAGGCAGTGTGAGCGATTCCTACGTACATGTGACTATCATTACTATACTTACTATCACTATCTACTCCTGTTACTATTCTAGCACTATCTACTCCTGTTACTATTCACTGCTTATTGTAGAAGCTAGCGTGTGTGTGTATCTCTGTGCGTGTGTGCCTCTGTGCGTGTGTGCGCGTGTGTGCAAGTGTGCGTGTGTGTGCGTGCATGTGTGCGTGTGTGTCTCTGTGCGTGTGTGCGCGCGTGTGTGCATGCATGTGTGCGTGTGTGTGTGTGTCTCTGTGCGTGTGTGTCTCTGTGCGTGTGTGCGCGTGTGTGCATGTGTGCGTGTGTGTGCGTGCATGTGTGCGTGTGTGTGTGTCTCTGTGCGTGCGTGTGTGCGTATGTGTGTGTGTCTCTGTGCGTGTGCGTGTCTCTGTGCGTGTGCGTGCATGAGTGATATTGTGCTCGTACATGCCTGAGCGTGTGTGTGGATATAAGCGTGCATGCGTGCGTGCTTATGTCCGTGCATGTGTCTGCGTGCGTGCATGTGTGTGTGCGTGCGTGCATGAATGGTGGTGTGTTTGTACGTGAATGAACGAGTGTTGCGTGCGTGTTGCGTGCGTGTTGCGTGCGTGTTGCGTGCGTGTGGCGTGCGTGCGTCCGTGCAGGAATGCGTACGTAGATGCGTTTGCGCGCGTGCGCGCGTGTGTGTGTGTCTGCGCGTGCACGCGTGCGTGCGTTCGTGTATGAGCGTCACTATAGCGTATACTGCTTGAAAGTACCTCCCGAATCTTTAAGGTTAGAAGATAACCGATGTAATTTTACTCGTGCAGATGGCGCAGCAATCCGACAGTTACAAGAGTTGGTATGCCGCAGGCGCCGTGGTGTTACTGGCAGCCGTTTACACGTGGCTACTGCACGAGTTCGGCTGGTTTACTTGCGTCCTGTTGGCGCCAACGCCCGACGAAATAACGTGGAGCAACAGCAACTGGCAGGAGATTGAGGAGGGTTCCTTGTTCATTCTAAGCGCCTACGAAGATCGAAGATTTCAGCCTCACTACGTCCGCATTATGGGCATGGAATCGCTGGGCCCAGCACAACAAACAAAAGATCAACCTGTCAACGTTTCGGCTATAGAGGAACATGAATTGACGTGCGTGCTGTGGTACGACAATGGCAAACGCGACGTGGTCGCTGCAGAGAGACGCACGATGCATAAACAAAGAACAATCTATGATGGCAGCATCACGTATATGGCGTACCTCTACTCCTGTCCGATACCAGCCGCACGAGAAACACCACCTTCACGCGTTTCGCTAACCTTTGATGTCTGCGAGCGAATAACAAACGTCGTTAACGTGACGTCATACGGTCCATCTAAGAAGCTGCACGACCCTGATCAAGAACGAGATAGCGCAGCAGGAAGAACCGCGCCACCTAGTGACAAAATTGCGTTGTGCCTCAAACCGTTGAATTTCCCAACAAAGGACATAGCGCTGCGTCTGGCGGAATGGATTGAGATACAGCGGCTTCAGGGTGTAGATGTTATATTCACCTACGTGTATGACGTCACCGACACGGCTATGGTGGTCCTGCGACAATACCAGCAGCGAAACATTGTCGATTTTGTGATTGCCATGCTTCCCGATCGTCTGCCAGGCAACGGAAAGGCGCGAGAGAAATTTCTGCGCCGAACGTCTATGCAATTGCAACTCACCGAGAAGGTTGTACTCAACGACTGCTTCTACCGCCACCTGGCGTACGATTACGTCAGCGTCATTGACCTCGATGAAGTCATCGTCCCGCGGCAACACCACACGTTGACCGAGATGCTCGACAACCTGCGTGACGTCACCGTGACCGTGCCAAAGAATGCAGGTGTTGCCGACGGTGGGGGAGAATCTCAGCTTGCTCCACCGTGCGCCTCGTATTGCTTTCGTCAGAGTATGTTCCTCGATGAGTTCCACCAGCAGGACCACGACGACATTCCCGAATACCTTCACGTCATGCAGCACACCAACCGCTCCATGTACGTGCTAACGAAAAATGAGCTCTCTGTGAAATCTCTCTGCAGCACTAGAGGTGTAATTGTACTCGGTAACCACGGCCCCTACCAAGTGGCAACAGGCTACAAGGACAGGTGCTACGTTAACCGCAAGATGGCGCTCCTACATCACTACAGAAACAGCTGCAATATCATCCACAATATCCAGAGGTCAAGCGAGTGCAATAAAACAAAGTCCGACACCATACAGGAGGACAATATGATATGGAAGTATCTTGACCCCGTGCGTCAGAGAGTAGAGCAGATGGCGTTCGACTGTTGGCAAAGCAGGGAAAATAGCGCCTAGCTATGGCGAGCTCTGAAATTGCGCCCTTGTCCAAACATCTGTGCTAAGTGTAGAAATCAACGATTGTTTGTGTGTGTGTGTGTGTGTGTGTGTGTGTGTGTGTGTGTGTGTGTGTGTGTGTGTGTGTGTGTGTGTGTGTGTGTGTGTGTGTGTGCGTGTG